TTTTTTTTTTTTTTTTGTCCACTTATTTTTTGTTTTTCTTTTTGGTTAAAAATTCTAAAAAGTGGGATTTGAGATTTCGACGGCTTGTTGTTATTTAAAATATTAAAAATTAATTTGCGAAAAAGTGGAACTTTAACGGTTTGTTGTTGTTGTTGTTGTATAGAGCACAAAGCATATCTAATTAAAATATTAAAAATTAATTTGCGTAAAAACACAAAAGATGCCTATGAAATATTAATAGTACTAAAATACTATATAACACATAAAAGTATCTAAAATATTGTATAATTATTTTTTAAAAAATATATGAAATTGCTTAATTTTTCTAAAATATTACTAAAAAATATGTCTAAAAACACTTAAATGATAATGTACTAAATTATTTTAGATACATCCTGAAATACCACTTTCATCAAAGTTTTCAAGAACACAAAACTCTTGTTTTCTTGTCCTAACATATTGTTTATATAAATATATATATGTGTGTGAAGGGATTACTTATGCTAATTAATATAAAATTTTGAATTTGTATATAAATAGGAATTTAAGTTTTACTTGTTCTTTTATTACAAATAATTGAAAAAAAAAAAATATGGTAGAAAAACAAGATTTAACATAGCTATGTACTGAGCCTTGAACCCATCCCAATCAAAATATCTTTCATGCCTCACCATAGCAGAGCTAGGTCAACAGCATCCCAATTAACCTCCCTTAATAGTATACCTTCAATATACCAATTAACCTCCCTTAATAGTATACCTTCAATATATCAATTGTAGTAGAAATATATAGATTTATAATAATGGAGAGATTATTTTTATGAATTACCTACTTTATATTAAATCTATATAGTTAAATAACCATGAATATTATATGTATCTAAAGGCTAAGGGCTTGATTATTTATGAAACAATTTGTTCAAATTGAGTTATTTTGGTTAACTATAGTTAATTTTGAAAAAGATTGTATGGTTAGTTGTGGTGGAATTTATAGAATGTAATAAAATAATATTTAAAATAAATAATTAAAATTAATTTGATGTAAAAATAAGAGATAAATGATTGGAAATGATATGTAATTAAAATTATATGAGTGAATGAATAGTGAATTAAAGTTGATGTGATGTGTAAGAATGATTGGTTTGTAGTATTATTTAATTATATGAATAATATTAAAGATAGTAGGGTTGAGTTAAAGTTGAGTTGACATAAAAGTGAGTAAATTAAAATGTATACAAGCAAGCCCTAATAATATCCCATAATATCCACTATGTAATTTAAAAAATAATAATAACCTACTTTTAGTTAAAATAACCGTGAATATCAAATAATTAATTTAAAAGCTAATAAGTAGTCTACCCAGTGGTCTCGTGTTCGAGCCATGGGAATGCAGCAGTGTTAAAACTCTTGAGGGAGAACTTTGCCGCCCTTGTGGTCCTACCCGACTCGATTCCGGAATAGTCGGTTCCCTGTGGATTCGAAACCGGAAGGTCTCCGTACCAAAAAAAAAAA